ACTCTTCGGGATTTTCTATATAGGATCATGTTACCTGTGAACAGAGACAATTTTACTTCTTGTTTTCAAATCTGGATACCTTTTATTTCTTTTTCTTGTCTTATTTCTCTGGCTGGGACTTCTAATACAATATTGAATAGAAATTGTGGGAACGGGCACCCTTGTCTTATTCCTGATTTCAAGGGGAAAATTACCAGTCTTTTTCCATTAAGTATAATGTTGACTTTTCTCATTGTGGTTTTGATTTGCATCTCCCTATATGACTTATCAGTGGTTAAGAGCTTGGCTGCTAACCAAAAGGTTGGCAGTTCGAATCCACCAGCCACTCCTTGGAAACCCTATGGGGCAGTTCTACTGTTACAGGATCGCTGTGAGTCGGAATTGACTCGTGGACAATGAGTTTAGTTTTGGGGTTGATAATGGCTAATGACGTTTTGAGAATCTTTTCATGTGGTTTTTGGTCATTTGTATATCTTCTTTGGTGAAGTGTCTATTCAAATCTTTTGCTCATTTTCTGATTAGATTGTTTGTCTTTTTGTTGTTAAGTTATAGGAGTTCTTTATATATCCTGGGTATTAAACCCTTATCTGATATATGGTTCCCCCAGATTTTCTCCCAGTCTTAGGTTCACTTTGTTGATAAAGTCTTTTAATATACAAAAGTTTTTAATTTTATCTATTTTGTCTTTTGTTGCTTGTGTTTTCTGTGTCATATCCAGGCATCCCTTGTTGAAGACTAGGTCCCAAAGCATTACCATTACATTTTCTTCTGAGAGTTTTATGATTTTAGGTCTCACATATAGGTCTTTGAACCATTTTGAGTTAATTTTCGTACATGGTGTGAGTCAAGGGTCTAACTTCATTCTTTTGCATGTGGAAATCCAGTTGTCCCAACACCATTTATTATAGAGACTATTCTTTCTCCATTGGATGGATTTAACACCCTCGTTGAAGATCATTTTGACCATAGATGTGCAGCTCTGGACTCTCAGTTCTATTCCATTGGTCTACATTCTGTCATTACACAGTACCAGACTGTTTTGATTACTCTAGCTTTATCTTGGAGCCCTGGTGGCTTATGTTTTGAGATCTGGAAGTGTGAGTCCTCTACTCTATTTTTCTTTCTCCAGATTGCTTTGGCTATTCTGGGCCCCTTGCCATTCCGTATAAATTTGAGGATTGACTTTTCCATTTCTGCAAAGAAGGTTGTTGGAATTTTGGTGGGGATTGCAATGAATTTATAGATTGACATCTTGACAGTATTAATCCATGAACATGAAATGTCCTTCCATTTTTTTTAGGTCATCTTTAATTTCTTTTAGTAATGTTTTACAGTTTTTAATGTACAAGTTTTTCACCTTCCTGGTTAAATTTATTCTTAGTTGCTTTGTTCTTTTAGATGCTGTTGTAAATGGAATTCTTTCTTTAAAATTTCCTTTTCAGCTTACTCTTTGCTGATGTATAGAAACATGACTGATTTGTGTGTTGACCTTGTATCCTGCCACTTTGCTGAATTCATTTATTAGCTTTAATAGCTTTCTTGTAGGATATTTGGGTTTTTTTTTTTACACTTGTGATAATGTCATTTGCAGAAAGGGATAGTTTTACTTCCTTCTTCCTGATTTGAATGCCTTTGTTTTTCTTGCCTGATTGCTCTGGCTAGAACTTCCAGTACAGTGTTGAATAGCAGTGGTGAGAATGGGTATCCTTGTCTTGTTTCTGATCAACAAGCATATTTTTAAGTGACATGTTTGGATTTGAAACCAAATGTGTATGAAAATGTAGTTTGCCACTTAACGATGTTACAGTGTCAGAAACAGACCAAAACAAAACTGCCCAGAGTTTGGGATTCTTGCACCTTGCATTTGAAGGTTAAATTTTATAGTTTTCATGTTGGCAAATGACAAAATAAGAATGAAAGTTTCAGGATGCTGTTCGCATTTTTCTGCAAGTAATTTATTTGGAATATGGATGGTCTAGAGTCACAAAAGTTAGAAGCCAAATTGGATAAATTGTCACAATATTTTTCCTTTTTATGTTGGCTTTTGAAATAACTATATTCATCTCAATGTTTTGTGTAAGAATTTTGATTAGATAAATGCAATTTTTAGATCTACATGACAGGAATTTGCAGGAGTATCATTTCAAAGGTGTCATAATCTGAGTTCTGTCTTTAACAGTGGCTTATAATGGATGTAAATTACACAAAAGATGACTATCAATTTCAGACTTCATAGTAATCAAAAGCACCACCACATGGTTGCACAACATAGTGAATGTAATTAATGTCACTGAATTGTACATTAAAAATGGTTAAAATGGTAAAAAAAATTTTCTTTTTTTTTTAACTGTACTTTAGATAAAGGTTTACAGAACAAATAGTTTCTTATTAAACTTATTAAAGTTAGTACACAAATTGTTTTATGACAATGGTTAACAGCCCCACGGCATGTCAACACTGTCCCTTCTCAACCTTGAGTTCCCTATTACCAGCTTTTCTGTCCCCTCCTGCCTTCTAGTCCTTGTCCCTGGACTGTTGTGCCCCATTAGTCTCGTTTTGTTTTATGGGGCTGTCTAATCTTTGGCTGAACAGTGAACCTAGGGAGTGACTTCATTACTGAGCTAAAAGGTTGTCCGGAGGCCATACTCTCAGGGTTTCTCCAGTCTCCTTTAGGCCAGTAAATCTGTTTTTTTTGTGTGTGTGTGTGAGTTAGAATTTTGTCTTACATCCTTCTCCAGCTCTGTCCAGAACCCTCTGTTGTGATCTCAGTCAGAGCAGTCAGTGGTGGTAGCCAGGCACCATCTAGCTGTACTGGACTCAGTCTGGTGGAGGCCGTGGTAGTTGTGGTCCATTAGTCCTTTGGACTAATCTTTTCCTTGTATCCTGTTCTCTTCATTCTCCCTTGCTCCCAAAGGGGTGAGACCAGTGGAGTATCTTAGATGGCGGCTCACAGGCTTTTAAGACCCCAGACACTGCTCACCACTGCTCACCAAGGTAGAATGTAGAACATTTTCTTTATATAAACTGTGTTATGCCAGTTGAGCTAGATGTTCTCCATGACCATGGCCCCCACAGCCCTCCGCCCAGCAATTCAGTCCTTCAGGGAGTATGGATGTGTCTATGGAGCTGCTTAAAATGGTAATTTTTTGTGTTAAATATATTTTACCACAATAAAAGAAAAAATTTTTAAGAATCACTACCACAGCCTTAGATTGTGATACTGCCTGTGCCTGGAAAGTGTCTTTAGATAGTTATACTGGTTTTTGTTTTTTGTTTTTGTTTTCAAAAATCACCATTGCCTGTAACAACTTAAACCTCATGGAATACATTCTCCAAACTCCAGAGGTTGACGAACTCTAAATGGCAGTCATGTGGATTGAGATTTTAATACTGTGTGGCTCCATATAAGTTACTCAACCTCGCTAAACTTCAGTTTGCTCTTTTGTAAAATGTAGGTAATACTGTACCACTTAATATGTGGTAGCTGTATTGTTATGACTACATTTTAAAATAATCATTTGTTTACTTGTTTGCTCTTCCACTAGACTGTTAACTTCTTGAGTTCATGACTTTTTCATATTTGTATCTCCAGTACCTAGCCCAGAGTCCAGTATATAGTTAAGATTCATTATTTGTTGAATAGGACATAAAATATCCAACTAAAAGGAAAAGAAAATATATCCAGCAAGGGGGGATATCAGAAAGGCAACTCAAAGGGAAAAGGGGTAATGAAAAAGCTTGATGAGGGGATTGAAGACAAGCTTAATGAGCCTTCTCTTCTGGGCCTCAATCCTACTCCCCTCTGCTTGGCCTTCAGCTATGCTAGATACGCCAGCCGGGCCAAGTAGCAGAGAGAACATTCCATCAGTGTTTCTCAAATGGGCTCAATATCGGTAAATCCAACTTTTATGATAAATTATACTGTAAAATTTAGCTAGATTGCTAAGTTTTTATTAGTCTTTGCCACACATTCTGTTATGCTATAGATAGCAGTAGATAACCACAAGCAGCACATAATATCAGGTTATATTATATGGTCATTATATTTTTGGTATTTATTTAGATGCAGTCTTTCTTTTAAGACTGTTTTTCTTGTGTATTGTCTTTTATTTTCTTTTATCTCCTAGGCATAATACCACACTTACTTCCTTGACTGCCTTTATAAATCTTAAAAATTGTAATGTTTATTGTATATCCTGAGTCTTTGCTACTGGAAATCATGTGTGCCTCTGTTGTTAAGACTGATTTCTTTTTTTAACATAATACAGGCTGCCTTCATGTAGGAGGGCAATGGGACATATGAGAATATGTTTGAATTTACAAATACAGCGTTTGCCAGCAAGGACCTAAACTCACTGTTGTCATGAACACGTGTGTGTGTGTGTGTGTGTTTGTTTGTTTGTGTGTATTATGTATATGTATGCACTATGTGTAGTTTTGTGTGTGTTTGTGTAGTTTTACATTTAAACAGATTGAATTAGAATTTACATTGGCCATCTTATGGAAGTGTACCTTTCTTACAATTGTATTTTGATTATTTTCAAATGTACCATTCTGGAAATAGATTTGATCAAATAATATTCAAGAGTAGTGACCATGAAGTAGTGCTTATGAAATACTTACATTAAGACTTGTGTTTCCTGATTTTACTACTAGGGCATTCTTTCCAACATCTTCATTTTTAAATATTATAAAAATATTTTTAATATAGTAATGCTTTTACCTTGTGGATTAGTAAAAACTAAGTATATACTTTCACTAGTTTTCTAGACTACCGTGGGTTTTTTCTATGTGGAGTATTTTTTGCCTTAACGTCAATCTCATTTTGGAAGTCTTTAGAAATGTATTTATTGAATCTTACTTTTACTTGTCTAGGTAATATTTCCCAATTTTATGTGAATCAGGTTAGAGATTATATTTATAAAAAGTGCTTTTGAAAATGTAACATTTTATGTGAGCAGATGCAGTTATTATTTGTGATGTATTTCCTGCCTTTTTAGTGGATGATGCTGGCAAAATAGAACACGATGGTTCCTCTGGAATGACCATGGACGCAGAGTCAGAAATTGATCCTTGTAAAGTGGATGGCACTTGTCCTGAAGTCATCAAAGTCTACATTTTTAAAGCTGACCCTGGAGAGGATGACTTAGGTAAGAGGAAACCTTCAGCCTATTACACATCTTGATCCAGATTCTTCAACCTGATTACTTTTGAATTACTTCGATTGAGACATTTGAAGTCTTTTCTGAAGATAACTTTTAAAAAAGATTCCAATCTAGTAACATAAAAGTATATAGAAAGTAATAAGTGAAATAGGTGGAAATGAAGTTTTCACATAACTTCTTCCCTGAAAGGTGGAACAGTAGACATTGTGGAGAGTGAGCCAGAGAATGATCATGGAGTTGAACTACTTGATCAGAACAGCAGTATTCGTGTTCCAAGGGAAAAGATGGTTTATATGACTGTAAATGACTCTCAGCAAGAAGATGAAGATTTAAGTAAGTAGGTGGCCTTTTTGTGGGAGAAAATTTTATGTTTCTGTAAGCTCGCTCTCTCTCTTTTTTTAAAATGCAACCAGTATTTGAAGGAAACAAGTAGCATTGTTGTAGAAATTATTATGCTGCCATATACCAAGAGAAAGCATCAGGGACTCTTCATGTATGTGCAGAGTGTTGCTTTAAAAATAAATTATGGTAAAAGTTAAGAAATGAATGATTGATTCAACAAATACTTGAGTTTTTACCCTATGAAAGCAATGTTCTAGGTATGTGACATTTGAACCTTCTTTCTATTTGTCTCTTAACTGAATTCAAATCAAAATATCTTTCTTGTGATCTGTAATCCTTATCACAAAGGCTTTTATAATTTTCTACATAGATGTTGCTGAAATTGCTGATGAAGTTTATATGGAAGTGATCGTAGGAGAGGAAGATGCTGCTGCTGCCGCCGCCGCCGCAGCCGCTGCACATGAACAGCAAATAGACGACAATGAAATCAAAACCTTCATGCCAATAGCATGGGCAGCCGCTTACGGTAAGTCACGTAGCAATTGTTAGGCTTCCGCTGCTTGGTTTTTAAATATGAATTCATGATTTGAAAACTGTTTCTGTGGTCTTAGGTTTCAGAAATCTAAATACCAGTAGCCTGTATGGGTTATTTGATTTAAACAAGAGTAGACGAAGATTATAAAGTCTACTTTTTGTCTTTATTTTTAACAGGCATTTCCTTCATGTGTATATTACGTAGAAGGAAGTACTGCGAGAAGTACACAGGCTTTCAAGCTGAAACTTTTCATCTTGATTATATCTGGCCCATGACTTTACAATTTTGGGAGACAACAAGGGAGTCCATGGGGCAGAATGCTGACATGTGTTTTTTTTTTTTTAGATTTGGAAGCTAGGCATTTCCTACAATTGTGCTTTAAAATGTGCTCATAAAACCCATTACCTAGAATGGGACATTTCTGTCATTCATGAGTATCATGGCTTATTTTTCATTGTTGTAGTTAATAAAGAATCCCTAATTCTTTATCATTTATAATACTGTATAATTTTGTTTTCTAATGCGCATTGTTAGGTAATAATTCTGATGGAATTGAAAACCGGAATGGCACTGCAAGTGCCCTCTTGCACATAGATGAGTCTGCTGGGCTCGGCAGACTGGCTAAACAAAAACCAAAGAAAAGGAGAAGACCTGATTCCAGGCAGTACCAAACAGGTGAGGGCTCACGAGTTCCATAGCACAGCATTCTCCGCCAGCTCCCGCATTGAACTCTAGTATGTATCCACAAAGATGTTGTGATGGCATTTTAGCTGCTAGACCTCAGGTAGTCTTGTATATTGAATTTGAACATAAAATTTTAAGAATTCAGTGATATTCATGAATGATTTCCTTGGATAAAAAGAAACAGGAGATGGATCAAACATGGATGAAAAAAATTTCTTTAACTTAGGTGATTATAAGTGGAAATGAAAAGAAATCCCTCAAATATGTTACAAGCGTTAACTTTTTTAAAAACTGAATGTATTTAAAGAATTTAATTCAATGTTAGCATAAAGCAGGCATAATTTACAGAGCAGTGGGACAAGTACTTCAGTTCATATGACATAGTCCTGTCTATTCTTGTATACCAGTTTGCATATTATAAAATTATATAGGTATAGTTAGACCTTACTGTAAATTAACATAAATTATGATTTTTGCAATAACCAAAGCAAAAACTTGATAACCAAACTTTATGAATAATTTTCCACAGATTGCTAAATTGATACAGCTTCAGTCACTAGTTGATAGAAGTTACATATTTATTTACTACTTTTTGTAAACTAGAGGGAGTAAGATTGGTACAGTAGTACTGAATGAAGTTTCCAGACCAGGTTCTCTTTATGACTAGGTGGCTATATCTCTTATGTTGAAAAGCGGTAAAAGGAACGTTAAGTAGCAAATAGCATAATTTAGGTTCAGAACACACAGTTTAAATTCTTGAAGAAAACAAAACAGAACTTTGATCCCTCATGCGCCTTTCTTTTCCTTTTGGTAGCAATAATTATTGGCCCTGATGGACATCCCTTGACTGTCTATCCTTGCATGATTTGTGGGAAGAAGTTTAAGTCAAGAGGCTTCTTGAAAAGGCACATGAAAAACCATCCAGAACATCTTACCAAGAAAAAATACCGCTGTACTGACTGTGATTACACTACCAACAAGAAGATAAGTTTACACAACCACCTAGAGAGCCACAAGCTGACCAGCAAGGCCGAGAAGGCCATTGAATGCGATGAGTGTGGGAAGCATTTCTCTCACACTGGGGCTTTGTTTACTCACAAAATGGTGCATAAGGAAAAAGGAGCCAACAAAATGCACAAGTGTAAATTCTGTGAATACGAGACAGCTGAGCAAGGGTTATTGAATCGCCACCTTTTGGCAGTCCACAGCAAGAACTTTCCTCATATTTGTGTGGAGTGTGGTAAAGGTTTTCGTCACCCGTCAGAGCTCAAAAAGCACATGCGAATCCATACTGGGGAGAAGCCGTACCAGTGCCAGTACTGCGAATATAGATCTGCAGACTCTTCTAACTTGAAAACTCATGTGAAAACTAAGCATAGTAAAGAGATGCCGTTCAAGTGTGACATTTGTCTTCTGACTTTCTCGGATACCAAAGAGGTGCAGCAACATGCTCTTATCCACCAAGAAAGCAAAACACACCAGTGTTTGCATTGCGACCACAAGAGTTCGAACTCAAGTGATTTGAAACGACACATCATTTCAGTTCACACGAAGGACTACCCCCACAAGTGTGACATGTGTGATAAGGGCTTTCACAGGCCTTCAGAACTCAAGAAACATGTGGCTGCCCACAAGGGTAAAAAAATGCACCAGTGTAGACATTGTGACTTTAAGATTGCAGATCCATTTGTTCTAAGTCGCCATATTCTCTCAGTCCACACAAAGGATCTTCCATTTAGGTGTAAGAGATGTAGAAAGGGATTTAGGCAACAGAATGAGCTTAAAAAGCATATGAAGACACACAGTGGCAGGAAAGTGTATCAGTGTGAGTACTGTGAGTATAGCACTACGGATGCCTCAGGCTTTAAAAGGCATGTTATTTCCATTCATACAAAAGACTATCCTCACCGTTGTGAGTACTGCAAGAAGGGGTTCCGGAGACCTTCAGAAAAGAACCAGCACATAATGCGACATCATAAAGAAGTTGGCCTGCCCTAACAATACTTCTACAGACTTTTGTAGAGATATTGGCCTTGAAGCAGAAATTCATTTTAAAGCCAATCAGTCTCGTTCACATACAATACTGTATATTGATTTATGCTGTGTACAAATAGAATTATTGCTTCTAGTTGACTTTTTTTTTTTACCGTTTGTTCAATAGTGTGTTCTGAAGTCTATTCGGTTTGTTTAATAAATGGGGAAAAATGGCAACAAGCAAGTTGCTTTTAATAAAGTAATCCCTGATTCTATACTGAATTTTTCTATCTTAGAAGTTTTATATTTATTTAAATATTTACCTTGCTTACCTTGATGGTACTCTTCTAAGACCATTTAACTTAAAGTTAAGGTAACTTTAGATTGGTAACTGCAAGTATTTCATGTTGACTCATTTTTTTTCCCACAAATTTCTCACAATAAAATCATCAGAGACATCTACTAATATAAATGGGAGATTTTACGGTCGGGTCTAATGATCATAACATGGAAGTCATTTACTTGTCTTGCATAATATTTTCAGACCACATGACAATGAAAGTTTCCATTTGAGCTTTTGTGTCCCTAGCATTACTGAGTAAAGAACTGGCTGGGTTCGTGTTTAATTTTCATTTTGTTTAGCAGACAAAATATACTTCTTTGGCTTTCTTTGGAGTATTCGCATCTTTTGTCAGCATAGCAAACGTTTAGAAAACCTTATTGATAAATTTTGCTCGATCCTGTTGTATTTTTATTATTCTGTCTGTGCTGCTTTGTCTTGGAATGGTTGTGTGCTACCAATGAGACTTATTGAGGACTGAATTTTGGAATCTCCTAGAGGTAATTCGTGGCTCATAGGATCTTTTGCAACTTTATATATGTAAATGTACCCTGAATTATATATAAATACACATATATATAACATGTATCTGTGTGTATTGCTTATTTTATGTATTTATACACACAACCCCAAGTAGTAGTTGTTTAAAATCTATAATGAAAAGTATTAAATTTACAATAACGTGAAAGATCCAGGGATGCATGAGAGAGCATTTTGTAAATTATGCTCTTCAGAGAGACTACTCAGGTGAAGAATTAGAAGGAAAATAAGGACACTAGTATTTTTAAAGAGTAAAGGTATTTTCCTTTAGTTATCTTTGGTAATTGAAAGAAATTGATTCTAGATAGAATGTTTTCATACAGTTTCAGCTTCATGCCTTTATATTTTTCTGAAAAGCTAATGAGTATCCAGACACAACTCCCGGAGAGAACTCTGTGTCTCACCGAGTGAGGGGACTGAGAGGAAGCAACAGCTCCAGGTAACAGAGAATGGGTGCTAATGACCACTTAAGCTTGTCGAGTTCAGCCTGCATTGTTATTTCTTAGACAATTAGCAAACTTTAAAAAACTTAACCCTCGAGTTGGCTTTGATTAGAAGATAAAGGTGTGTTTTTAAGTGTATAACGAAGATCTGAGGCCTTATTTGGAATGTCACCAAGTCTTTCACAGTTTTTGTTTTTCACTGAGAGTTGACTTTTTTTTCAACAGAGTCATAATTTTGAATCAGTCATAATTTTTTTTAACAAATTGAATCAGTCAAATTTTTTGACGAATCAGTCATAAATTCATAAGGTGAATTCAGTTAATTAGGTTTGGTAATATGGTTAACCAATTTGATTATGTTGATATGAATCTTGGAGAACAGAAAACATTGTTTGAGGTCCCTTATTTTGGCTATTGGCATGTATGTATCTGGCACATCAGGAGATTAGAAATTTTTCTCCCCACTTGATAGCTACCTTGCCACTTCATTATGGTGCTCCACCCCCTCCTTGCTGTCGAGGTTGTACCTTTCTCTTCGGCATTGATATTTGTATTTAAGAATTATATCTATAGGGTTAGAAATCTGAATATTTGGTGTTTGGCAAGCCTCTGAAGTGCTAGATTGATCTAGTTCTAAATCAAGTGCTTTGGGCTGGTATGAACTCCAACCTAAATGCCAATCAAGGCCAAGGGATGGATTTTGGAATATCTGTGCCTTCTTGGTGGAGTCCCTGGGTGGTGTACATTGTTAACGCAAGGCTAATGTGCTCGACTGCCAACCGAGAGGTTGGAGGTTTGAGTCTACTCAGAGGTGCTTTGGAAGAAAGGCTTGGTGATCTACTTCAGAAAAATCAGCCATTGAAAACCCTATGGAGCACAGTTTTACTCTGATGCACATGGAGTCACCATGAGTCAGTAGACTCGACAGCAACTGGTTGGCTATACCCTCTTGGCCCCCATAACATGCTTTTTTTTTTTTTTTTTTAAAGTAACAATTACATAATTCATTGCCCTGAAGAACTATTATCGAAAACTTTTTTTGTGTGTGTGCGTGAGAACCTTTAAAATCTCTCTTAATTTCTATTTTTCCCTGAAATAATGTAAAAGAAAACACTTAAGTGAAAGTGAAAATTTTAAAACATCTTATAAAATTAATACAGAAAATATAAATAATTGGTCATTTATATTTTTTTAAATAAACTGAAAGATAAAGAACACAACACTTTACACACTTTATATTTCTCTTACATAGTCTGGAATCATACACAGTTCTTTTCTTTTTAAAGCACAATATTGAAACCTTTAAAAGGTATTTAAGGGTTTGGTCAAGTGAATATGATAAAATGTATTTGTCTGTATAAAGAGAAAATAAAATTGTAGTCACTGTTATGTACGGACATTAGTTACAACCTAGTTTTAATCCTTAAAACAGTTTTGATTAGCAAAGCTAAAAAATGGATGTTTCAGTTAAATGTTTTAAAGAGGTACAGATTTTTACAAGGACATAATATAAGTTATTGTTCTGTAGAAATATCCTATTAAATATTGTATGTCCCTCCTTCTGTACACTTTGTAAAAAAAGTAAAATACCTAAAAAGAAAATCATATAGGGATATGTGACATTATTGTAATTGTGTACTTGAGAATAACGTGCAAAAATAAAAATCAGAATATTTTCCTGTTAATGTTTAGTCTATTTGATACCAGTACTAAGTTAATGCTTTTTCTTAAGAAAAAAAATGTACAGTTTTTGTAAACCTAATAAACATCAAAAGCAGTGGATTATTTTCATTTCCCCATTTCTTCATTTTATACAGCAGTGGAATGCAAAATGCTTGATTGCTTTGAATTTTGTGACTTGGATGCAAGTACTGATAATATTTCAGTCCTGTGAATTTGCAAGTAATATTTCAGAGAAGTTAAGAGGCAGTTAGTGAGTCCTTTGATGAGCGTGTCCTTGAAATACATTTTTTTCCTTTTATCTTCATAAAGGATTTGTTTATTAGCATCTCCAGTTCTCCTGAGATAAATTTCCCATGCATAAAGTGGTTTTTGAGAGCACTTGAAGTTCATTTCAGTATAAATTCCCAGCACATTTAATCAGCGGGGACTGTCACCACCTCCACAGCAGAAGACCCTGCCCTAGAGTTACTCTTTTGTGCCCAGTTTGGAGGGCTGTAGTGATGCTAACGTGCTAGAGAATAGGTCATTGTCATAGTGAAAATCAGAAGTTAGGTAAAAGTTATCAGGAGTCAAAGGAGAACAAGAATACAGATTTGAGCCATCTTTGGTTTTAAAGATGAAATTCTGCAGTTCTTCAGCTATGTAGGAATAAGTGTTTGCCTAATAGTTAAAACAGTAAATAATCAAAATTTGACTTAAATGATCAGGAGAACGTGGTGAACATTACTGTCCTCGCCTGCTGAAAAACTTAGTCTTTTTTGACAAATAGCACCTAAGCAGGCCTGTGATCTCAGCCAGTCAGATAATGTACTGTCCTGTTCTCTGGTATTAACACTTTATTTCCCACAAATTCTACGATTAACGTTAAGAACAAACATTATGACCAGGCAAAATCTTAGAGGTGTGATATTTCAGAGCAGCTGGTTTCAAAGTATGGCCTGGGGACTGGCAGCATCAGCATCACCTGGGAACTTGATAGAAACGCAGAGTCTCAGGTCTCACCCCAGATCTGAATCAGAGGCTGGGGTTGGAGCCTGGCAATCTGTGTTAACTTGTTCTTCAAGTGACTCTCATGGCTGGAAAACACTGTCTTACAGTACTTGAGGAATGTAAAAGATTACTGGTGCAACATTTTGTGTGGTAGATAAGAAAATTACAAAAACAAAACAAAAAACCTGAAATAAGCAGTGAAGGTGAAATGGGGCCCAGTTTATACCTTTGATTTGCCTTTTTTGAAGTGTGGGCCTATAAATCTTGTATGGCCTTCCGTAAGTTGCATACCTCAAAGGTAAATCAGAGGAAGATTCAGCAAGTAAAAGAGAAGGGCTGAAAGGTTTTGTGTGCGTGTGTGTGTGTGTGTATTGTCTTTTTAATTAATTGCCCCAGGGTTACTTAAGTAATTCATATTTGAAAAAAACCAATTTGCCACCTTCTGCAGCTGTTTAGATAAGGTTAGAGTTAAGTTTGCTCTTACGGATTTTGTTTTATCTTTTGTTTATTGTGTATATATTGTTTGCCTTTTTCATAAAATAATCCTTGGATTTGTTATCTATTGTTCCTGTTGTTTTTCACATCTTTACTATTGTTGTAAATAAATTCCTGTTTTGTTTTAAGTTACCCTAGTGGAGTGTTGGGTATAGGCAAGGCATATACACATACACACACAGAAATTAGGAAGCTTAAATTGCACAACTAGTAAAGCCTCAACACATTAGAAGCTGCAAATGATGCCACCTCGTGAGTAGTCCAGCACTTCTAGCACCAGTGAAAGTATCACTGTGGCATATAGGTATAACATCTTTGCCTACTCAGATTTTAAAATCATTTTCATGACCTCTGAGATGGAACTACTTAGTCCATTATTGAAGTGAGGTCTAAATTAAGAATTGTTTTCCTTACTTGATTTTTCCTATCCACTTGGTCTCCTGTGTTACTTGTATTGCTGGTGATGATGGACACAAAGGATTTGGTGTTACAGTGATCTACTGATAATTGAAAAGCCGGAAGCCCTGCTCAGTAGTTCTAGATGGCATTTAGTTATGTGCGATACCACAGAAATTTCTAAACATGTTGACTAAAATAGAATAGTTAAGTAGGCTTATATTATTTTGCTTTCCAGAGACAAGTTTCTGCTTTTCCTTCATGTTTGTGTTTGGCTTTAAATGCAGAATCCGTTTCCTTTTGCCTGAGATGATTTGATCTATTCTGGAGAATGTTCCATTGGTGTTGGAAAAGAAAGTATATTGGGCTGCTGTTGGGTGAAGTGTTCGGTAAAATTCTATGAGATCAGGTTGGTTGATTGTGGCATTTAGCTCTTCCGTGTCTTTGTTGAGCTTCTTTCTGGATGTTCTGTCCTTCACTGAAAGTGGTGTGTTGAAGTCTCCTACTACTATTGTGGAGCTGTCTATCTCTCTTTTCAGTGCTGTTAGAATTTGTTTTATGTATTTTGGAGCCCTGTTGGGTGCATAAATATTTATTATAGTTATGTCCTCCTGGTGTACTGACCCTTTAATCATTATATAGTGCCCTTCCTTATCCTTTGTGGTGGATTTTACTTGAAAGTCTGTTTTATCAGAGATTAATATTGCCACTCCTGCTCTTTTTTGAGTGTTGTTTGCTTGATATATTTTTTTTCATCTTTGAGTTTTAGTTTGTGTCTTTAAAGTGTGTCTCTTGTAGGCAGCATATAGACGGATCGTGTTTTTTTATCCAATCTGCCACTCTGTCTCTTTATTGGTGCATTTAGTCCATTTGCATTCAACATAATTATTGATAGGTATGAGTTTAGTGCTGTCATTTTGATGTCTTTTTTTGTGTGTTGTTCACAGTTTCTTTGTTCCACTTAATTTTCTGTGCCTAGTCATTTTTCTTTATGTATTTTCTTTTCATTTTTTTCATTGTTGATTTTGTGTTTATATTTTATATTTTTATATTTTTCTAGTTTTTTATTTTGAC